CTGGGGTGTTCCCTCATCCCTGCCTACATCTGTAAATAGACCCTTTATCCCACTGTCATCAATTCTCAGTCTGCGTGAGCCATCTGCTTCCTGCAGGGACCTGACCAATAGACCAAGCTACCTTGAACTCTCACCTTGATTCCTGCAAGAGCCTAAGCAACCTCCCTGCGTCTTCTCTTGCCTTCCTCCAGCCCCTTCTCTACCCTGCTTCCAGAGCATTTTGAAGCAAAATGTGATGATGGCCCCACCCCTCTTGAAAAAAACTCTTGGATGGCTTTCCTAAACCCAGGATAAAGACCAAAATCATGTCTTTGACACGACCAGCAAGACTCTGCCAAAGCTAGGCCCTGCTACTCTTCCAGTTTCTTCTTGCTCCTCTCTCCCGTGCTCTAGCCACACAGCCTCTTTCACTTCCAGATTAGTCTGTGTTCCCTCCCTTTGCCACTCTGTTCCCTCCCTAGTCCCTTTTTCCCTGGCCAAGCTAATTCCTCTGTACTCTTCACATCTCTGCTGAGGGAAGCCTTCCCTGACCCCGAAGTTGTCACAGAAGTGTGTTCTCTCCCTTCATTCACTTGTGTGAATCATTGCTGACCACTAGGTAGTAGCCCCTGTGAGGACTGAGACTGGGTCTGGTTTTCTGGGTTTGCCCACCCCTGTGAGCCCTGCCCCCAAGTCAATACCAGCTGGGGTGAGTGCTCAGTAAATGTTGGCTGAATGATGAATGAATGACAACACTGCAGGAGTTTGCTCTCTCAGCCCCACCTGACTCGAGGCCTGATTTCCAGGGATGCGGACACATAGAGGCACTGCTCCTCCTGTTCCTGCAGCTCCTGGTCTCTCCAGACGGCCAGGCACAGGGTGACTGCAGGGTCGGGCAGTGGCAGGCAGGACGGTGGGACCACCAGCTCCCTCTGATCTGTGTGGAGCAGCTGCCTCTCAACACAGTCACTCCACTGAGCCCAGCAACGCCCTGAAAAAGAGAGGTGGGCGAACACTATCCATCCAGGAACTCTGCCCTTAACACTTGTGCTCCCTTCTGGTTTGGGATCATGGAGGAGAAAATGGGCCTCAAATAAAGATTTTGATTCTTAAAAAAATTTCACTTGCTGGTTGCAGGAATGGTGCTGCAGAAGGAGTCCTCTGGGAAAATGACCGACCCATGCTTCACCAAGACTGAGCAAACCTGCAAGATATGTTGGCTTGTTTTGCACCAGTGACTTGCACTGGCAGCAGGCAGACATATAGCAGGAGAGGCGCCAGGAGGATACACAGCCCCGCCAGGGAGAACGTCCAGGGCAGCTTCCCCGTCACTGGTGTAATGATCACTCCATGTGAAGTGATGGTCCATAGCTGTAAGCCCCTGTGAGGTACACTGAGGACCTGGGGAGCTGTACCTCCATCTCGAAGGCTGTAGTGTCATCTCCTGCTTTATGGAACCAGCTTGGTAAGTCTGTATATCCTTTGCCCTTCAACTCCATTGATTGATGTTTATCTGTCAATCACTTTGCTCCCCCCCACCGCCCCCAATATGATAGTCATTCTCAGGACATGTC